GCCTACTATTGAAAGGAACTTTTTAACTGCTCTCTTCAATGCAACTGTACCCTCTTTTTCTTTTTCCTTGGTGCTTCGCATACCTTCATCACATATTTTGAGTTTAACTTCTTGTTTTAAGCTCTAGACTTCAACTTTGGCTTTGAAAATAAATTTGAAGTTTTTGTATTTTTAATTGTTTATGATTGGCTAAACTTTCAAAACTCTGCTATTTCTTATAGTAAATGAATCATAGTGTAGTTGTAGGGCCAAGGATCGTTTGTGAGTTAGAGTTAAAAAAGCATAAACTTAGCCGAAAAGGTGTTTAGGGCCCAAAAAGCAAAACTAATGATTAATTATTCTTAATGATTAATGCTATAAGATTACCAGTTGCCTTATATATGCGTTTGATTTTTAGGCATAATTTTGTTTTATATATGTTCGAGTATGCAAAACTAATGATTAATTTAAAAAGTTTAATTGCATTCGAGTTACATATATACATATATATATATATATATTCACTACAACAAATTGCACTTTTGACGACCAAATTTGGTGACTAAAAAAATTTTAGTCGCCAAAAGTTGTGAAATTGGCGACAAAAAATTATATTAGTCGGCAAAAGTACAATATTTAGCTACTAATTTTTTTAGTCGGGGTATATTGATTATTGGCAACTAAAAAAATTTGGTAGCTAAAAATGCCACAATTGGCAATTAAAAAATGTTTTAGTCACTGTATAGTTAGTTTTGGCTACTAAAATTTTTTAGTTGCCAAATGAAAAAAACAAAAATTTACTTTTTATCTTTGGCGACCAAAATGTTTGGTCACCAAAAATTTATGTTCAGCAACTAAAAAATGTTTTAGTCGCTGTATAGCTAGTTTTGGCTACTAAAATTTTTTAGTCGCCGAATGAAAAACAAAAATATACTTTTTATCTTTGGTAACCAAAAATTTTTGGTCGCCAAAAATTTATTTTCAACGACTAAAAAATGTTTTAGTTGCTGTATAACTAGTTTTGGCTACTCAAATTTTTTAGTCGCCGAATGAAAAATAAAAATTTACTTTTTATCTTTGGCAACCAGAAGTTTGGTCGCTAAAAATTTATTTTCAGTGACTAAAAAATTTTAGTCGCTATATAGTTAGTTTTGACTACTAAAATTATTTAGTCGCCGAATAAAAAACAAAAATTTACTTTTTATTTTTGGTGACCCAAAGTTAAAGATATTTGAAGGGATTTGTAAAATTACTTTTTATTTTTTACTTTTTAGTCGCCAAAGAACTAAAATATTTGGAGGGAGACGTTTCAAATTTTGGAGAGATTTGTAAAATTATTTCGCGCCAAAATGTTTAGTCACGAATGGTGTAAAATGAACCGTATATATATTCTGTTTCCAAACCAAACCTTAAACAAACCAGCGCCTCCTTTGGTGTCTCTCTCCCTCTCCCTCTCCCTCTCCCTCTCCCTATCCGCTGCTCCTCTCCCCTCCCTCTCTCACCACCGCTCCCCTAGCCACGAAACAGCTCTCCTCCGCCGCTCCTCGCGTTGTCGGCAACCGGAGCACCAATTCACCTCCTTGTTGGTCACCGTCACCTGAGATCCATCACCCACGGAAGCTCGATCGGCGGCTCCTCAACATTGCAATGCTCATCAATGCTGACCCAAGTAAGCTCTCTGTTTTTTCTCTCATTTGGATACTTTTGTCACAATCTTCTTGAATGCTATAAAATTTGTTGATTGAATTGTTTTGGTGGTTCAGATTTTCTCTCGTGTTCTTGCTAATTTTGGATGCTTTAGCTTAAGTTGTTAGATAGAAAACTCAATTAAATAAAATGGCTACAAGTGTTTGGTGTGTTCTAGTTTCGATTTTGTTTTCTTTGTGTTTTGTTTTTCACTTCTGTGGTGGAAAACAAATATTTGGAAACAAAAACAATGGAAATAATTCTGAATCTATTTGAATTTCTGAATGGAATAAACAATAACTATTTGTGATCCTGTATATGCTTTTGCATGTGGCGTATGTGGACACAAGTGGTGCCCCTTTTTCATTCCTAACAAAATTTTATTTATTCACAAAAAATTGCTCACAAACCTGTTAGGAGCTAATAAAATGTAAGAGTAGGTTTAAAATAAGTGTGAACAGTGTCATCTTGAGGGCAAGCATTGAAAAAATTAGAATAATCTCCTATTTGAGTAACTAATTAATTGGACAATTTTAAGAGTAGAAATATAGTTATTTAGTGAGCTTGTGTGCAGGCATGTACGAAATGTATGTTGTGTCCTTAACAAAAAAAATTTTAATCAGCAATAATGTCTTTAACAATTTATTGATCAGTTTGGTGGTTCTTGCCGTTTCTAAAACTATTTCTGGCACTAAAATCCAAGCAATAAGAAAATGATGAGTGTTTTTGAACTATTCATTACTTTTGTTTCAGAAAACATGAAAATCAAAAACAAAAATGAAAAAGAAAATTTTGAAATTGATACCAAACAAGGGCTTAAAATTTTGTTGTTCGAGATGAGTCATAACTTTGATGATGACCAATTATTCAGAAGGAAACATTGATCTACATAGCACAAATTAAAACAGGATTCATGTAGCTTATCTTATATTGTAGGGTCAAGAACTGTTTCACATAGCTCAGAACTGTGTTTCTACTTTATGCCATGTAGCTTATCTTATATTCCATAATTAATTGAAAAACTGTTTCACATAGCTCAGAACTGCATTTCTACTTTTTAAGCTCTCATTATTATTCATATTTCTTTCTTTTCCTCTTTGTTGTTTTCCCATTTGTGGTTTTTATGATGAATGCTTGAGGAAGTACGGAAATGCCAATGTCTGGAAGTATTTTTCTAATCTTTTTGATTATCTTCCCCTTACAGCACTGATTGAGAGTCAGGTTTGAGTTGTACATTCTACACTAGTTAAGTATTGATTGTTCTTATGACCATTTCTGACAGCTACATACTATTTCATTTTAGATTTTCTGTTTGCATGGTGGACTTTCGCCTTCTTTGGATACGCTAGACAATATCCGAGCTTTGGACCGTATATCAGAGGTACATTGATTGTTGTAAAGCTAATCACTGATATACATTGTTGTGATTTATGTGTCTTTCTCTGTGAGAAGTCTCAACTTGAAACTTGGGCTTGCACTTTGTGTTTGCATTTTTCCTTTCCATCATGGCATAAACGGAGCGGTCTACTTTTCTTTAGTTTCCACCCTTGGGTTTCTTGTTGAAATAGAATTGGCAAAAGTATCATCTGATATTCTGACTAATAGAAAAAGGGAAGAGGTGACTGATACTGGTGCTTCCTTTTCCTACATTCAAAATTTGGGTTTTTTATTGCAAGGTGAATCTAGTTTTGCTCTTCTTTTTATTGTTGTAATTAGAATTAGACTGAGAGTAAACATCTTCAAGGAAGGCAAGTAGGAACACAAATTATGCTTATGTACCAATAGTTTAAGTGGTATTCTAAGAACCCAATTAAAAAATAAATAAAAAATAAAAAAACCTCTTTTGAGTTCTATGGTGTTTACATGAGTAGTGTTATACAAACAAAAATTCTGTACAGAATTTTGATCCAAATAATGTGATTACTTTGTGTCCTATCACTTTAAAAACAAAAGTCAAGTGGTCTATCAAAGCAACTAATTTTTTTTAAGATTGTTATTATCACATCATTTTGGATAAGAAATTGGCATTTTTTTTAAAAAAAAAAATTAGTAACCTTTTCAACGAATGATTTGGAAATGATTTAAGTTAGAAGAATTGTGTTGCTGAAAATAGTTTCGTTGTCATCATGTTAAGTAAGGTGAGTTTGGTTATATGCATGGCGCATCACCTACATCTACTTAATCATTTATGTTCATGATTTTAAAAATATGTAGCCATGTAAGAAAGTGGAGTTTTTGCATTTGAACGTGTAGAAAAATTGTATTAATAGGTAGAAAGTTAGAATTATTAATTTTATAATTGTTATAATTTGAAATGTCAATTTTATTGAGTGCTAATGGTTAATTTTATTTATTTATTTATTTATTTATTTATTTATTTTACAGATTGCTTTTGCGTGAGCTATTGTGGATATTTATTTTTTTACAAATTGCTCATCATCTGGAAACATGAGAATTTTATCTATGTCCACAAATCTTTTACAGGGATCCATAATTCTTTTTAACTTGGCTATCCTAATCTAGTTCATGCATTCTATAAGTAGATGCTAGCTAGCTTACTCTTGCAATCACTCCAATAATTTTGATTTATGATTGTCCCCAATGGGAGTATAATTGACTTCTAGATGTTATAATCCATAGTACATTATTCAAAATTCAAGTTGTAGCTTGTCTTTGAAGGTTTATGATCCCCGCATATCTTTTATGTTTCTTCCATGTATCTATTAATAATTCATTAGTAATTTTGCATTTTTACCCCCAGAACGCCTTTTTTCAATTAAGTTTAAGGTATTTTAGACTCTAACTCATAACCTATATGTCCTATTTACGTATCTTCTGTCCCCACAAGTCGTATTTGGCATGAGAAAGCTGCCTGTGTCTTCCAATAGAGGCTGATGATGGGTTAGATACTAACCACCATGAAATGTAACTACTAAATAAGTGAACTCATTAAACTTAGATACAAACAGATTACCCATGCCTGAAGGCACTCTCAACATAATTTGATGCAATCAAAACCACCTACATTAACATCCTATGCATCCCCATCTATTTAGCCACAAAACTTTTATAGTGGGAATGACATATACATCAATGTTTAGAGTTGCTTTTAGCAACAACAGGAGCATCCTACTTGGGCAATTTAAACTTTTATGCTCCTAATTATACTATTAAACATTTTTCAATTCAAGAGATTTTTGTCAAATCCTCTAAACTGCACAAAAATAAGAAAGGGTCATGATAGAGAGCTATGTTTCATGATTTGAGTTTTGAATTTTGAAGTCATCTCAAGTTGAGCCCTATGATTGAAGCAAAATGAATCTGAGCCATCTAAATATGAACCCAAAATTATTCTTATTGTTCATTCCCTTTGTTTCTCTTTTAAAAGCACAATAATAAAAATGGGTCATGACGGATAAAAACTTAACATAAACAGTTCATCCATATCTAGTTCCAAAGGACCTATATTCTATTTTTTTCCAAATATATTACCTACTACCAGCTTATGCAGAAGGCTCTACTCTAGTTACAAGTACATCCAAACCTTGGCCAGTCGGAGTGTACGGCTCAAAACCAAACTCTTAAATAAAATTGAGGTTTCTCATTAACTTGAAATGCCTTTGCTCTTCTTCAGCAAATTGTGCTTCATAACCCTTCAAATAGTTTACCAAAATCTCACATTAAGATCCCATTAATATACATCAATAAAAAAACACCACATGGCATTTAAAAAGTGTGTGCATTGTTGTAACCTCACCTTGTCCATGTTTAGGACAAGCTCTTGTAGTTTCCTCATTTTTTCACTGATCTGGTCTCTCCTTACCTGTGAATCGCATGAATAAAGGAAGAAAACAAGTCACCAATGATAGATATAAATAGGAAAAAGCTAGCTTTCATTATGGACAATCAACAATAAGAAGATTTGAGGAACCAGAGAGGCGAATTCAGGCACAATCTACGGATTGATAGATTGATTGGGGATTGATTGAGTGCTCTATTAGAGAAGGCCGATGGGTAGACCTAATATCCACCAGTACTCGCGATCTGGGTCTAATTTCTAGTTTGGCTAAAAGACAGTCAACTTTGTGACTTAACCAAAATAAATAGCTGGGACAAGGTTTGTGGAAAAGTGAAGAAACAACTTAAGGAAAAAAAAGAAACAAAATCTCCATGTCTATATATGTGTTTTTTCCATTCCGCCCAGATGAGGTGTAAGATTAGAGCAGCATCCAAAGTTATGTTCTAGATAAGCTTGTTGCTCACTGAGACTCTGTGTAACCAAATGTTGAAGGCAAGGAAGCAACAAATCAAGAAAACAAAACAAAATTAATCAAAATACAACCTTTAGTAAAATAGTTAGTATTAAGTATAAAAAACATACTTCAATACAAGTATCCATCAATCAAAAAAGAAATATATATATATATACAGAATGCTCCTAAACCATTCAATTACACTAAAAACTTACCCTTGAAGCAAGTATTTGTTTCCTCGAACACCCTAAACTACAAACGGGAGATAAAGCTTACCCTTGAAGCAAGTATTTTAGTTTTACCTTGAGCTGCTACACTTTTATGTAAACAAGAGGCAGAACATCTCAAAGCAACAATTTGGCAACCACAGGTAAACTGCTGCACAAAACAGAGACAAATAAAAAATATGCACAGCAATATTTTAAAAATTAAAACGGTCAACCAAGAGCAAAGTGGTTTTCAAAATAAAAAAATTACAACACAAAATATATATATATATATATGTTCACATTCAACATACTAATTTGTGTGCCACATGGAGTCACTTCTTCTCAGAGTGCCTAGTCTTGAATTTTTTCTCGAGGTTCCAAGGGGAACAAAGACAAGACTCGGATCCTACAAAACAACGAAGATTAATCAAGAGATTTCAACAATTAAGAGCACCACCATCAGTCACAACCCCATCCCATTCCAATCAAGAGATTTCCGAGTTCGCTTTCCTCTGAACAACTAAATTATGCACTTTGGAGTAAACAATATAGAGGTAAGGATGTGAGTTTTCTTAACATTTTTTTTCCTTCTAAGAACGGAATAGAAGGAAGAAAAGGGTAAATCTGAAATTTCACATGGATTCCAACAAAACAAAGAATTACATGGAGCATATGTAGGGAACCTTCTAGTGGAGTTTAGGGTTAAGTTGAGTCTTCATTTTATGACATTTATAGGTTAGTATGCTGCTAGATAGCTTCCTTTTTTTATTAGGTTTTAGCAAAGTAATCTAAGGCAAATATGTTTTGAAAAAAGAATTTGGATAACGGCTCTAGATGAAGCTTACAGATCTCATGTGTCAAGAATGTTATCGAATCATTACATGCGATTTTATTTAGGTCCAAAATGTTCGAATAGTCAGAATTTTATAGTTTTCATGTATTAATCCTAGAAAAATTAGAAAAAGTCCAGCAACCTACAAGTATCTATGTAATAATTCTAGTCAATAGATGAGTTGGATTCAGAGAATTTGTGTTTGAAACTGTGCGATGAATTACAGAGACTCGAGTAATTTCCAAGGAATTCTAGACCGGATATACAAATGGTTCTCCTTCCTACCACTAAACCAACAGGTTACTTTTCTCAGGGCACTATTTGCAACCCCAAAACAGCACCTCTTAACTCCAGGACCTTAGCCTATTGAGTACCAATTAACCCTAATATCTTTGGGTGTTTGATTTTATACTTTAAAGCGGCAAATTAGCTATTATCCATCAAACCAAGCCAATTTTCACCCTTTTCCATTTAAAAAGACTAGAAGCTTTCTCCTACGGTCCTACCTAATATAGCCCTAACCCTAAAATCCCCCATTTGGTTGTTGAGAAAACAGAGGAAAAAGGGAAAAAAAGAGAACCAAATAGTTTAAAAGACACAAACACACTCAGCCAAATAGCTGTATTAGTTTAATTTAGCTATGAATTCTTTGATTTCTTCGCAGCCAAACGGAGTACTGTGTTAACTCTTTTTAGTTCACTTTTTTTTCCCTATTTTCCTACAGTTTCTCGACAACCAAACAGAGGTGAAACTAACCGGATTGTGCGCATTGGAGGACGTAATCGGCGCTGAGAAGTTCGAGATCAGAGTCAGAGACAGAGGAGGTGGGACCAGTAGGAGACCGGAGCTCCCTTATCAAACCTGATGAGAGTATGAAACTCAGGAGCTGACGACGATCGCTGCGATAGCGTTGGAGCAGAGATTGAGAAATCTCCATGTTCGATCTTCAACAGAAGAGAAGAGAGAGTTTGGGAAATGAGAAAGAGATCGTGCGATGGTGTGGTGACGATGCGAAAGAGATCGTAGAAGGAGAAGGGCTGAGGCGAGAGAGAGAGAGAGGGGCAAAGAGTCACAGTGAGAGACACACACCGGCTTTCCAAGTATAGGTAATTTAGCCCAAAACGTGAGTTTTGAAAACCTAGCTTTTTTTGGGGGACCAACTCTTTTCGTCCCATAAAATAGAAGAGTTGTAAATTTCTCCCAACTGAAACATATTTCGTCACCAATTAATTTAGAAATCCCTCCAAAAATTTGAAGTCCTTCCTCCAAAATTTTAATTACAATTGCCGACTATAATTTAGTCGCTAAAAGTCAAGTAAAAGCCTACTAAATTTTTTAGTAGCTAAATATTGTACTTTTTGCTGACCAAAGTTTTGTTCAGTCGCCCAAAACCCTGCTTTCAACGACTAAAACTCAATTAGTCACCAAAAATAAAATAAATACCGACTAAATTAAACATTTAGGGACCAAACGTTTTCTTTGGTCGCTGAAAAATCCTATTTTTAACAACTAAAATCCAATTAGTCACCAAACATAAAGCAAATACCAACTGCATTATTTTTTGTAGGCAAAGATTGTACCTTTAACGACTAAATTTTTTTTAGTAGCTAAAATGTGTACCTTTGCCGACTAAGTTTTTTTTAGTAACTAAAGCATGCACCTTTGCGACCAAATTTTTTTAATCGCCAAAGATGTAATTTCCTGTAGTGTGAGTCATGTAATAGATATTTTCAAGCCAGTCCAATTTTTTTTGGGCCTTCATATCCGAAATTTCTTGGAACCGGTAGCTTTGAGAATCAAATATACTATTTCATATGGTGTGTATAAATCATGTGTTTTTGGAATTGTTGTGAAACCAATGTCTGATTAATCTACATGAGAACAATCAACCATGATAGTATGATTAATCTACATGAGAACAATCAACCATGATAGTATGCCAAACTGTTTCGTGCTCTAGTCTAGATGAAACTTGAAGGGATGCTCATTGTTAATGCTTTACAAATTTCTGCCAAATTTAATGATCAAGTGTTTTGATCAGTTTGTTAGAGAAATTAACATGTTGATTATCTTATGGAATATACTCATGGGATCCCTGTTAGACTCCTACTATCTCAGGCTTTTGAGTGCAGCACCGAATAGGTTTGTTCATGGCAACAAAGTAAAGTAACCGTAAGTGTCGGTACTACTTTTGGTCAATATTGCTTGGAAATCAACAGATATCATCTGTGTTCAATTCAAAATTCCCCAAATCTCTCAGTTAAGCTTGGAGAGTACAACCAAAACACATTACTAATAGATGCATTTGAATTTCCAAGATCAATGAAGAAAAGTTGGATTGATTTGATTATATGATATACAACAAAGAAAGATGTAGAACATTCATATATATGCTTCTTAATCGAATAAATGATACAGAGCATGGGATAATAATAAGGATGCTTGTGACATTTAATCACACTGTTATTTACAGACATACACACTATATATGATCACAAAACAAACACACAAATAAAAAACATTGAAGAAGAACCAAGAGGCCTCAAATTCTCAATTCCACAAGTTCCAAATCGCTCACAACGTCCCATGAATCACATGATCGTGATTCGTGGCATCATCAATTCAACGGGGACTACAACTGCATCGATTATAGGTGGTACAAGGCCGAATATCGTTATTGGCTTGCCCAATGCAATTGCCGTACAGCATTGTGTTACATACGACAGGCCTCTGTAGAGTGCTGTAAGTAATTTTCTGTTGGTAGAAGCAAGAAACCTTCTAGTCGTCTCTGATTCCATCAAGAACTCTACTCTTCTCCTCCATCTACTAAGCATTCGGCAACGGTGGAATTGCAGCCCCCAAATATCATTGAGTTGCTCTTTTTAGCCAAAGAGAAATAGAAGAAAACCATCAAAACCAGGACAAAAGAGAAATGGAGGTGGTATGGTGTGATCTTCATTTTAGTTTTCATCTCTGCCTTTGGGGCTTCTTCTCTTCGATTTAGATATCAATTTCCTAATCTTTGTTAGGACAAATCTAGCTCTGCCTTTTTGAATAGGAAAATATTAGTATTTTTCAATAATTTTTTGATGTTTACAAAAAGAAGTTAATTTTGATTGTTCAAAAATGTTTTCTAGCTTTAATTTGTAAGCTCCGATAACTCTAATAAGTGTATGGGGTCCATCTAATATGATATTTTCACCTTGTGTTTTTTTTTTTTTTTTTTGATTTTTCACATCACTATAGTTCAAGTAGAGCTCTAGTTTTAGAGGATAAATCACCAGTGTTGATTGTTTTAGTTGATGTGATGGGTCACCTGTCTAAGTCAAAATCTGGGACCGGCCTCTGCCTCCTAGGATGGAGTGAGTCCGGATCCTCAGTCGCCCATTCTTGCGGCACCCCCAAGATGACATCATTTTGGGGAAAATTTCAATTAAAAAAAAAAAAGATAGAACAGAAGTAAAGAAGAAGAAAGAAAAGGCAGATCTGGAGCTTTGAATCAATTGAAGTGACAGGATATCAATGGGGTCTAAGATTGCGAATGTGAAGAAACTAGATTGAAGAAAACAGAGCAAATGTATCATCATCATCATCAATATCTTCATTTTTGCTCAACACACAAAAATCGATTGAACAGAGTAACAGAGATTAAAGGTGGTTTTATAAGCTTTTTGGTGGTGAAAGCTTTGATGGAGACAGACAGACTCAGGATAGAGAGAAGCTTGGGAAGAAAGAAAAGGGCTTTTTTGCTGATCTTTGTCTTCTTTGTCACGATTCTTTTTTGTGTGAGCATTAAAAGCTCGGCGATCCTAGCGCCGATTCACCCGGCCTCACCGGCCGCCTCCACCCGGCCATCGGAAACCTCTCTTCTCTCAACGAGTTCACCGTCGTCCCCGGTCGAATCATCGATACATTGCCTTCTTCTCCCTTCTTCCTTCCTTCTTCTTTGCTTCTGTTCTATCTTCTTCTTCTTTTTTAATTGAAAATTTCCCCAAAACAACGTCGTTTTGGGGGTGCCGCAGGAATGAACGGCCGAGGACCCGAACTCAGGATGGGGTAGTGTAGTCTAATAAATTTTGGAAAATTTATTTAGCCGCTGGGGTAGTTGGTATTATTTATTAATGAAAAATTATAAAAATTATAAAAAAAAACTTCTTAAAGTTTGAATTTTGTTACAAAATAAATCTAATTTTATCAATTTTAATTTTAATCTTTTGATTTTTTTTGTCTATATATTCACTTATTTTTGTTAAGTAAAATTATTAGAAAAATATATTTTAGTCATTAAACTCAATAAGATCTGATATTTTAAGCACTTTCTGTACACTTATATTGAGTTTAATAATTAAAAGGTAAATGTTTAGATTAAAAATAAATTAAAATATTAACGGTTAAATTTATAAAATTAAAAAATTTAGATTTATTTTGTTACAAGATTAAAACTCTAAAGTTTTATTTGTAATTTCTCCACGCAAACACAAAAAAAATAAAAATAAATTAGAGTACTTTTGTGTCTCTTACATAGCTAAGATAGGATAATATATTAATATTTTATTTAAGAGTGTTTTGGAAAGTTGGTAAAAAGTTAATTTTTTAACTTTTTAACTTTTTTAATGACTTTTTTGACCAAAAACTGACTTTTTTAACTTGTTGCCAAAATACTCCTTATTATGTCATTAATTAAGAGTACCATGTGAATATTATCCCACAACATTCAAAAATCATGATATAATTTCATTATTGCCTAAGCCGGACCCATCGTTCACATGTTTTGCCATAGAAAAATGCATAAATTACTACCAAAAGGAATTATTCCTCAACATAATATACTAAGGACATGTTTGTCTCTAATCAATGACGTTGCTGGGTCTTGTGGAATTCAAGAGACTTGTTTTAATGATTTCCATCGTTTATTTTATCAAGTTTTATACGTAAATCATTTTTTTAAAATTAAATTAATATAAAAATCATAACTTTATAATTTTACTATATTTATTACCAAAACACATTATCAATAGATGCATCCGAATTTCCAAGATCTTTTTTTAAATTAAATTAATATAAAAATCATAACTTTATAATTTTACTATATTTATTACCAAAACACATTATCAATAGATGCATCCGAATTTCCAAGATCAACGAAAAAAAGTTGGATTAGTTCGATTATCGGATACACATCTAACAAAGATGTAGAATAATCATACATATGCTTCTTAGTCAAAGAAATGATACAGAGCGGGATAATAATAAGGATGATTATGACATTTAATTACACTGTTATTTAAAAACATACACACACCATTACAATCAAAAAGCAAAAAAATAATAATAATAATTAGTGTATTTGGTTTGAGTTTTTTGAATTAAATTTTTTGAAAATTGAGTTTTTTTGTTTTTTGTGTTTTTTTGTTTTAAGTGAATATTTTTAAAATTTTAAGCATTTGTTTTACTTTTTTAGATGCATCTTACTTAGATGTATCTAAAAAGTAAAATATTTGTGAAAAAATATTTTAAAAAACTAATAAATACGAAAAAATACGAAAAATGTATTGAATTTTCATATGTTTTTATATTTTTGGTATTTAGTGAATTTTTTAAAGATTTTTTCACAAAAATTATACATTTTAAGTGTATTTATATTAGGTGTGTCTAAAAATTAAAAAATTGTTTAAAATATTAAAAAAATCAATAAAAACAAACAAAATACAGAAAACAAGAAAGTAAAATTTTTCTAAAAAGTATTTTTAGAAAACTTAAGCCAAGCAAAGTGCTAATAATCAAGAAGAACCAAGAGGGCTCAAATTTCCAATTCAGCATGTTCCAAATCGCTCATGATGTCCCATGAATCACGTGATTGTGATTGTGGCTTTAACAATTCAACTTGGTTGGGAACTACGACTGCATCGATTAAAGGTGGTACAAGGCTGAGTGTAATTATTGATGGGCACGATGCATTTGGCGTATAGAGTTGTGTTACATACTGGACACCTCTGTTGAGCGCTATGTGAAATTTTTGGTTGGTTAGAATCAAGAAATCTTCTAGTTGTCTCTGATTCCATCAAAAACTCTTCTTTTACTCTCTCATCTGCTAAGCATTCAGCAATGGTGGCATTGTAC